GGGGTATGTTGGGAGTGAAGAAAGTGTGGACCAAGGCGGTTCCTGCGGAAGGCAGATAAGGGAGGGGATGTGTCTGTTGGTGGCATCTTGCTGGAGGTGACAGAAATGGCGTCTGATCATCTTTTGGATGTGGATGTTGGTGGGATGGTAGGTAAGGACAAGCAGAACCCTATTGCTGTTGAAGAAAGAAGAGAAGAGGTGAGGGCAGAAGTGTAGGAGATGGGTCTGACCCGGTTGAGAGCCCTGTCAACAACAGTACTGGAGAGTCCTCAGTTGAGGAAGAAGGTGAACATTTTGAGGCTCCTTTGTCAAAGTTGGCCTCATTGGAACATATGCAATGGTGATGTAAGAACTGGGAGAATGAAATGGAGTCTTTACAGGAAGCAGGGTGCAAGGATATATAGCACAGGGAGCTGTGGGAATTGTTGGGTTTATAGTGGATATTAGTGGCCAGTTTATCCCCAGAAATGGAAACAGAGATGTTGAAGAAGGGAAGGGACTAGTCAGAGATACAGCAGGTGGAAGTGAGGGTGGGGTGGAAATTGGAAGTGAAATTGATGAACTTTTCCAATTCCAGATGAGACAGGGAAGCAGGACTGATGATATCGTCGATATATCGGAGAAAGCATTGTGAGTGTGGGCCAGAGCAGGACTGAAGCAAGTCAGTGTTCCAGCTGCTGTGTTTCAGCGAGGTTCAGTGCAAGCTGGAAGAACAACACCTCATTTTTCCACTTGGGGACCGTACAGCCCTCCAGACTCAATATTGAGTTCAATAATTTTAGGGGATGAACACTCCCGTGTCCTAGCCCCAATCCCACACACCAGGCCTTGTTATCACCACACAGTACCTGTTATTAGTCATTAACAATTTTCATTAATAGCTGTTCACTATTCTAACCAGATCGTTATCCACGCCTTTGTCTGTTCTCTCTCTTTGGGCTCTATCCCCACGTATCCTTTACTCCTTACCCTCTATGTTCTACATGTTAACCGACATTTTCCCAGCTACCATCAGTTCTCAGGATGGGTCACCGGTCCCGAAATGTTAATTCTGATTCCTCGTCACAGATGCTACTGGACCTGCTGGGCTTTTTGCAGCAACTTCTGTTTTTGTTATGGATAGACGTGTGATCACCAGCACCCACCAGAGGGGCTGAAGGGCCGCCTCACCTTGCCGTGAAGATGTCAGACAGTCTTCACACCTGATTGGACGGCTGCCCCACCTAACCGCAGATCCCATTGGACCACGCCTGGAGATCCCGCCTCCAGCCGCAGATACCGTTTTCTAATTGGCTATGGCTCGGCAGTGACGTTGTCCCGCGGGTGGCCATTGGACAGCCCCGCCGCCGATCAGCGGTCGCCTCGCGCCACTGCCCTCATGCCCCGCCCCGAACCAACATGTCGGCGGTGAGTAAGGTACCCAGTGTACCCGCTCTGTCCCGCTTCTACGGGGCCATGGCTGGCGCGCTCTTGGGGGATTGTATCGGCGGAGGGTTCGAGGGCAAGGAGCTCGTTCGGCTGCAGGACGTGATCGAAGCTGTCCGCGCCCTGGAGGAGCACAGGGAAGAGGAAGGTAATGCCCGAAAGCTCACCAGCACCGACCGCACGTCGATGGGGGCAGAGAGCCCGGAGATGTCAATATCTCACCCGCCCCCGGGGGCTGTGGAGAACCCCCTCTGCAACAAAAATAAAACCCCTACCGTTCCCCCGCCCTTTTCTGGTATTTTACTCATCGGCTGCCCTTCATCGTGCATCCCATGAGTTGTTGTCGAAAAACTTCACGCAAAAGCTAAATTGGGATGATCCATGTTTAGTTTTGGACTGCCCGGTCCATTTTCTTTTTGACAGTTTATACTGTTCTGAATCTGGACGCAACCTTTCTTGGAAACCAGTTATTTTTTTCGTCTACTTCCACGAATAGTATCAGTTCAGTTTCCATCAGAAAAGTAAACAACAGGATTCGAGTCTTGCCCCTGTCTGTGCTCTGTCTTACGGCTCAGAAAGGTAGTAGGCTTAAGGCTGGATAAATGTTGTGTATAAGATGTTATCCTATTTGTGGAAATAATGCAGGTATGATTGTCCACACTGACTGGTAACTCCACGTAGGATCAGCTTTAACCTTTTCAAATGGTTTCCCCACTTCATTGTGGCACAAGCAAATGTTGGATTATTTTAACAGCAGTAACTTTTCTGTGAAGAAGTTGTGTTTGTGAGGCTGGGAATAGAAAATAAAAAGAAATAATATTTGGGGTTGAGGACTTTTCAGCAGAATTGGAAAAGGTTAGAAGGGCAACAGGGTTTATATAAGTACAGAGTCTGGATAAGGGGGCAAAATAAAGGGGGCAAAATAAAAGAAAAATCTTTGAATCGAAAGACGAGAGTCTAAATCATAAGAGGGGTAATGGTGCAAGGAAGATTAAATGGTAATGGGGAAAATAAAGGAACAACAGATCTGTATGGAGGAGATGTAGATGGGAGAATGACCAACAAACGCCTTCAGGAAAATTGGAGATAGTGGTGACGGTGTAGATTTGTTGAACTACTTGTTAAATATAGAAGATTGCATGGTGCTTACTTGAAACATAAGGTGCTTTTGTTTCGTAGCTGTATGGCATGTTTATTTAAGTGTGTAATCATTATACATGGTATTAAAAACAGACTGACTTATTTAGCTTCTATGAAAGCTTTCAGGTTGCTGTGTGATCACATATGTTGTCCTGAGTAACTGTGGAAAATTAAGCACTGATACGTTGGTACAGAAGACCAGTCTGAAGGGTTCAGCCATCTGCAGTCAGAGGTGTTGAGTGAATGATCCATCTCCGCTTCTTCCTGAGGTTCCTTCAATCACAGTTGCCACTCATGAGGCATCTCAAATCATTGCCATGCGATACGAAGAACTGGTTGAGCACATTAGATGTTATTATTAGCCTGTTATCATTTGAAGTGTCAGAGATTATCCCTGTTTGCCCCATTCACAAAAAGCAGCATAAAACCAAATGTTAATTACCACTTCATCAGCCTACATGTGATCATTGGTGAAGTGATAGATGTTTTCAGTGCTACTGTCAAGTAGCAGTTACCAATGATTTGCTTGCCATTCACCACTTCGGTTTGGGTAGGTCTGGATTGTTTGGCTCCAAACCGTGCTTACAGCCTTGCTCCAAATATAAACAGAAGAACTGAATCATAAAGGTGAGGAGAGAATGACTCTCATGTTGTCAAAAACAAATTGTGACCAATTTTGGCATTCAATTAAAATTGAAGTGAGTGACAGTCAGAGGTAAATGTTCCATTGTTCAGAATCAAACCATACACGAAGGCAGGTGTTTGTATTTGATAGAGGCCAGTCATCATTAGGAGTTGCCCAAAGGAACTCTTGCAGCCGTACCATCTTCAGTTGCTTCATTTATAATCTACCTTCCATCATCGTGTCAAAATTGGGGTTGTTTGATTGTATAACTAAACAGTCTACACCCTTATGCAGCATGACCTGGGCAGTATTTAGGCTTGGGCTGATAAGTGGCAAGTAATATTTATGCCATACAAGTATCAGATAATAGCCATCTCCAAAAAATGTGAATCTGACCATTTGCTCTTGATGTCAGCGGCATGTCCATCATTGAATCTCAACATCCTGGAGTTCAGTATTGCCCAGAAACCACATTACTACTGTGGCTTGTGGATACTGATCCCAGATGCTTAGCTTCTTGACCCTAAGAAACAATCAGTGCAGTCTTGCTTTTCCTCTGCTTACTTAGATTGCTACCATCATGTGTGTTGGTATTTGGTATAGAACAGGGTTGTAATGTTTTAACATACAATGCAATGTGGGAAATATTCAGTAGCTCAGGTAGCACCTGTAGATTGATTGGAGCAGAGCTACTGTTTTAGGTTGTTGACTGACTGACTGACTATTTTTTTAACAATGCAATATATTAAACAAAGGGATGCTTTTTTGCAACTGTACTTGTCAGCCTGCATGAATACTACAAGTCTTGGTTGTTATTTATATGGATATAGTAAATGTTTTTGTCTTGTGGCCATGTACTAACTGCTACTGTACCCTGAGGCTATTGTTTGATTTTAGCTACTGTTATATTTATGTATTTTCTATATTTTGGTTGTTCACAGTGCATTATTTTAGACAGTGAATTTAATTTTCAGGTTCTTTAGTGTATTCAGATGATACAGCAATGACGAGGTGTGTGGCACAGTCGCTGATTTCAAAACAAGACTTTGATGAAATGGATATGGCTAAAAGGTAATACATTTTGTTCAAAGGGTTAACTACTGTACTGTGGAGATCTTGTTAAATTGTCTGTGACACAGTATTCTGACTTAACCTAAAAAAGTCATTGCAAATATACTGAACTCTTAACATCCCATCATTGTTTTCTATGATGTTTTGCTTGTTGTTCAGATACACTTGCTGTGACATTGTGATCTTTGAAATTTATATTCTCTTTATCTGCAAAGGACTTAAACATATTGTTGAAAAGACACTGTGTCTCAATGCAGAATAGTTTTTCTTTTCCTGTTGCACGTATTTATATTTCGTGTGCTTCTATGCCTTGATTTCTCACTCCACTACTGGTGGTCATACTTTTAGGTGCCCAAGCTCTAAGCTCTGCAATTCCCTCCCTAAATCTCTATGCCTCTCCACTTCTCCCTTGCTTTAAAACTGCGCCTCAGACCTTCTCTTTTGAATAATCATTTTGGTTACTGGTTCAAAGCCCATTATCTGGACCAAATATTTGTGAAGGATGAAACAATTTTGAATCATTCTTTTTCATTCCTATTCTGCCCTAGAAGCATACTAGCTGCCAAATTGAACGTCAAAAACTTCCAATGTCCAGGGTATTAGATGCCCTGAATACTCAAATAAAGGTTCTAACTCTAGGAGTTAGGGCATTGTCAAAATCCCTCATATTATTGTACAGAGTAAGTAGGAAGAAATTGATTCCACTGGCATCGGGGTCAGTAACCAAAAGTTAAAGATAACCAGAAGAGGTTTGTAGAATTTTATTATATAGTACTTCCCCTTATTTTGGAACAGATAATACTGATCACATCTTTTTTCACTTATCACAAAGGCAGGCAGTTGTTAATATTTCTACATCTTTAATAAACTGAAACTAGTGTGCACTTTTGTGGAGGGCCAGGATCTTTTGTAGGTGTTTTTCGAGCCGCCTTCATTCTTGGATTTGCTGTGCTACCAGAATAGGGTGGGCTATTAAGATTAGTAAAATGCCTGTGAAAATATTCACTGTAAGCTGTGCAGAGAAGTTCTAGACTGGCTTCTTCAGTTTATTTACTCTTCCCAAAGCAGAAAGACTTCTTTTGTTTTAGCGAAATAGGGGGGAGACGGGTGGGAAGAAGAAATAAAGGGGGTTTTGGTATAGATTTTTGTGTTCTAGTTTCTCAAATGGGACTTGTAGTCCAGAATTTCTGATTCATGAGAGAAAACTGACACACAGCTATATCCTTCATATTTTCTTTTCTAACTCCTTCCTCAAATTTTACATCTTAAAAAATGCATAACAAGATTGTCCAGTAAAAAAGTAAGAATAAACTAAAGTTTAATTATTTTATCTTGCTAGTTTTTATTTCCCAGAGGAAAATAGGTGCCTCTCTTCAATGATGCTCCCCTCAATTAATTTTACCTTTTAGAAAATAAAGCCATTAAGATACTTTTTTTAAAAAAAAACCTGAATATTGAATCTTTACATGTGCATTGCTTTTGGCTTCCTCTGAAATGAGGTAAAATTCTTTCTGTAAAACACCCCTGATTATAACCTACTTCTCATGTGGCTTAGAACTAGGTCCTAGTGTTCTATTATTAGCAATAATTAAGTACTGTACCTGGAGCCTGTTGCATGGGAGACAATTGATTTATATCACAGAAGCAAGAGAAATGTAACAACTGATGTATGCAGGCCATTCTGAGGAGTGTAGGACAAAGCATGTCATAGAGTGATCTGGTAATGAAATAAGGTAAGAGCAGACAACATGTTGGAACTTCTGGAATGCGAATTTTGGTGCAGATTTGGGAGGACAAAATAATAAACTTTACAGGCTAAAGTGGAACAAAATAAAACAGGTAGTATTGTAAGACTTTTCAGTTGCGTGTTTTCAGTGCTAGCTGTTGACTCAGGCAAGTTTGAGCAGCTCTTATTGGTCAATCCCAAACTGTCAGAATCTGTAAAGAGGATGAAGACGATGTGGTATCATTGGGGTGGGAGAGTGCTTTTTCTTTGTAACATGATTTTGAGTATAATCACACATATAAGTGACAGAGATAGTTAACTATAGGAGAGTAAAGAAAAATTGGAAGTGAACATTATTTTGAGTAGCTAGAGACGCTTAAGCTCTCAAACAGATTTGAAGCTTTTGCGTTCTGGCGGTGTTTCTGGACAGGACTATCAAATAAACCCAACTAATTGAGTTCAGGAGATTGGGGAACCATTCAGGAACAGGATTTCACAGGCTGTAAACTCAGGATTTCTTATCCAGCAATGTGCTAGAATAAATTGAAAGATTATAGAAATCTTTTTAAGCTGACTTTCTGATGTCAGAAAGAGAATTCCACTTCAGGTAGTGGCAATGGCTCTGAAACAGATGGCAGTCATTCCTCAAGGAGTGGTTACATCTAGACTATGAGATTAACTCTGTACAACTAAAATGATTAAGTAGGAGAATAAGGAGGTTGTTTAAACTGGGAACTGAAGAATGGTCATGATACAATTATCCATTTAGACTGGGAAATCCACAACAAAAACTACAAAATCAAATTGTATTGAGACAGATGTTAGAAGGATGAAGAATGTGTTCAGTGGGATAGAAGCTAAGGTTGGTATTAGATTGTAGAGTGACAGTAGAGTTTTTATATTGAATAAAAAAAGATTGTGGAAGTGCAGCATTTTAAATTAATTCTCAGTTTTTAAGAGAGAAAACTCATGCCTTTTATGGAGGTAGAAGTTAACTTTATTTGGAGCAGCGAATCTATAGAGACTAGAAAAATAATTTGAAAGTGGAGGATAAGGAAAGTTGAGAAAGAGTTCAGGAATTGTTTAAAAAGAATGGAAGAGAAATTTCCAAGTATGTTAGTAAAACATGGATTACTAATAGTAAAATGGGATTTGGGAGAAAGAAGAATGGTCAAAAACAGAAATTGCTGGAAAAGCTCAGCAGGTCTGGCAATTTTTGTGGAGAGAAATCAGAGGTTAACATTTCGGGTCGAGGGACCCTTGTCAATTTGTACATCAGAAAATGGAATAAATATTTACAAAGTATTTCACTAAAAGATATTGGAGAGAAGTTGAATCTTGAGAACATGAGTGGTATAGAAAAAAAGAAAACTTTGAATTATTTAGTTAATATAGAGAAGCTACTGTGCTAGGACTTAGTGAAAAATATTTTTCAATCCTAAGGGAGATGAGGCAAGAAGTCCTATCTCGAGGAATGGCTAATCTAGTACATATTTTTAGGAGAGACTGCGTTGTAGTTAATTGCCAGCCAGTTAGTCTTTAACATTAGATAAACTCTTAAATGTACTTTATTACTAAACTTCAAATTCTCATGCATCTAGATTATGAAAACAATCGTTAGCAATCAGCATGGATTTTAAGAGCAATAATTAATTATTTCTTCGATGAAGTTTAATATTGTAAATAGGGGAGTTACACTATATATTCAATGGTAAGGTGTGATCCAGGAAATTACGAGAAAAGTTTGCAGTATAGAATTGACTTTGATCGCATATAGTTTGGATACTCACTCAAGGTCTATAATGTCAACATTTGCAATGATACCAACATAGGAGGTATAGTTCATTCTTGGATGCTGAAAGGAAGCTGCACCAGATCATTGACAATATCTGGGAATGGGCTAAAAATGTGAAAATAGAACTTGGTGCTAATATAATTTGAACAGGAAAAAATACTAGGTATTATGTGAATTGAAACAAACTTGATATTGTGGAAAGAAGAGTACATGCAAACAAGGAATCCACTTGTTTGTGTTTAGAGTACAGTAAAGTCATTATCTTGCATTGATGAAGCTGTTAATACAAATTGAGTATTAGATTTTATCAATGGACATAGAACATAAAAGCCAAGAGACAATCAATGATGAGCCTTAGAAATCTTGAAATCGTTGAGGCATGCATATTGGGCTGTACACTATAGGTCGATTGTCAAGCTTTAGATAGTATTCTGCAAGCTCACTAAGTTGTTACCTGGTGTAGGAAATAAAAATAGGAAAGCAGACCTGAAAAATTGCGTCCTTTTCGTTTAGGATAATGCAGGTTACAAGGTGAATGATAGATGAATGTTTATGTGAAGGATGGAATAGGGTAAGTAAATTTCCAGTTGTTGACTGATCTAAAGCCAAGGACCACAGATCTGAAATATTTAGAAGATAGGGAAGGATAAATATCTTTACATAGTTGCAAGGCTGTTGAAATCACTTCCAAAGTTGGTGTTTGCAGCAGGACCTGTTAATATTCAAGATTAGATCATGTAGTTAATGAACAGGACAATAATTCTGATTAGAACTATTTGCTTGTGTGAAGTGTAAATACAGGCCTGAACGCAGTAGTCTGGTTCTATATTCTGACAGTCACTCAGAAGCCAAGAAAGTCATTATAGGGCAACTGCATATGAGTAACTCTTGCTTATGTACAGTTAAAATGAAGATTAAGTACTAATTTATCATTATGGCTACAATGGATCCCTCTAGTCGGGCATGTTCTCCATAAAGCAGGAATAACTGAACCGTTCAGTCGTACTGTGGTAGATGAAAGATAGAACCAGATAAAGTACTTGCCATTAGTTTATCATTTTCCAGGCTGATAATAAAAGAAATTAGGTTTCTGTTGAGAGACTGGATACAGGATTGCCTTTGTCTAAGGTAGACGAATAAGGTAAATACTTTTTAGAGTACAAGTTTTAAGGGGAGCATTTACTGTTTAGTTGAGTGTACTGTAAATTGATCTGGTGACTGATCTAAGAAAAGTATGTAATATGAAAGCAATAATTGTAGATGCTGGGGATGTGAAATAAAAACCAAAACTGTTGGAATGAAGAAGTTACTCAGTCTCATTGAGCCCAGCGAGTTTCAATGTTGACTCCATTTAGCTCTCCATAGATGGTCCTAGTCCTGCTGAATTTTTACAGTACTTTTGGATGAGAAAATTATAGCATTGCCAATGCTGATTATCCCTCTTTGAGATGTGGTTTGAAAAATAGTTTACTGCTCAGTGTATATTTGATTTTAATAATCTGAGTGAGGCACTGTTTGAAGTTTATAGAAAAATAACAAACACATTACTTTTGCCTTTACTGCCTTAGGTTTGCTGAAGAATACAAAGAACAGCCGAACCGTGGGTATGGAAATGGTGTCGTTCGCGTATTTAAGAAACTTCTAAATCCAAACTGTAACGATGTCTTTAAACCAGCAAGGGAACAGTTTAAAGGAAAAGGTTCATATGGAAATGGAGGTGCCATGAGGATCGCCCCAATTGCTCTGGCATATCCAGACATTCAGGACGTTAAAAAGGTCAGATTGATGAAGCATTTGTAATTTAGTTTTTTCCAAGTAAGAGATTTTAGTATTGATTTTACTTTCCCCTCTATTCCTCCCATCCACTGTCCCCTTAGTGTTAATCGTCCACGTTGAGCAGAATAACTCGTTGTTTAAACATTTTTACAATTATTTCTCTATCATCACTGGACTATCTTCCTCAGCCTCTAAGTGTGTGTTCACTTGACAATTCTTCTGCTTTTCTCTTCTATAATAAAACAATGAACTGGGGATGCTGGAGACCTGAAACAAGAACAGAAATTGCTGGAGAAACTCAGCAGGTTTGGCAGCATCTGTGGGAAGAAAGCAGAGTTAATATTTTGACCTAGTGACTCTTCATCAGAATTGATGGTAGCTAAGACAAAGTGTTTTATTTTGCTGAAGTTGGTGGCAGGAAGGAAATCAGAGCTCAGAGGGAGAGATAAAAGGGGGAGGTAAACAAGGAGACAATAAATAGTAGGCCAGGATAGAAGAAAAGCTGAATAAGTGTTAACAAGAGCTAAGAGTGAGAAAACGTTGAAGTATGGGTAGCTGCAAGCTTGGGGTCATTTTCTGGACAGAGAGTAGGCGGTTGCCCAGCCCTTGGCCCACACCTGTGCTTTGTCTGCAAAAATGACTCCAAGCCTCCAGTTGCTTACCACTTCAATACACCACCACCGTGTTCCCACGTCAGCATTTGTTGCAACCCTGCCAGTGTTCCAGCGAACTTCAGCACAAGCTCAAAGAACATCTCATTTCCAGTTTGGGGAATCTGCAACCTCTAGGACTCAACATTGAGATCAATAACTTTAGAGCCTAATTCCATCCTTCCTTTTCTTTTAACTTACCTCACACCTGGTCCTGTTATGATATGGGTTGTTTTTAGCACGGTCACCCATTCCCATGTACTCCTAAACCCATGATCACATTATATGGGTTGCATTCAGCACGTACTCACTGTTAGCTCTTACTTTCCTGCTTTCTTAGCTAACCTTTTTAATGAAGAGTCACTGGACTTGAAATATTAACTCTGCTTTCTCCCCACAGATGCTGCCAGACCTACTGCTTATCTCTTAGTTAATTATTGGTAAATTGACTAGATCAGAAATCAGCCGATAATACGCAATGAGATTGAGACAGTTATGGAAGCAGTATATGATCGAGTGGCAGCTGCAGGAAAGGAATGTTGTTCCTTTGACCAACCTGTTATAATTAATCTTGTACTAATTGTATATTTATGTTTATATTCACTTGCCAGAATTTATCTAGACGAGTGGATTACCTGGGGCATTACGTAGTTAGATGATGGCCTGTTTTTGAGGACAAGGAGCATTATTTTACATAATGCCCAAAGCACTGATATGAAAAGGAGCTTTGAAGTGATAAGTCTAATTGTTGCTAAGTGCCATTGTAGAATTTGAAAATTACAAATTCCTTCTGAATTTGTAATTACAGATTGGAGGGTGCTTTGAACTTATGTTCTGGGCCAGCAGCGCTTAAAATTTAAAAGTTGGTTTATGTTTGTAACAAACTCTGATCTCTGCTTTGTGACAGATGTGAACTAAGCTATACTTTTATAAATTCATGGATTTGATGGGTCTTTGCTAATAGTGAATTAGAGGTGGCGCTGGAAATGGACAGAGGGTGCAGGGAGAGGAACACATTTCCAGTTTGAGTTTGGGAAGTTTGTAGGATCTCTCCACTGACAACGGAGTAAGTTTTTTGATAGATTTCTGGTAAACTAAATACAAGTAGTGGTTTCTTTAGTCTGTGTTAGTGGATAACTTAAGCACTGCTAAAAGGAGACAAAGTCTTAGGCTTTCTATCATGCAGTCAGTAAAGACTTTTGGTAAATTGGTTGGGGAGTATATAGGATTATACAGGATGCGATGAGGATGTTGATTGGTCAGGCCGTCATTGGCATTGAGCTGCAGAAGAGCAGTTAATTGTGAATCTTAATTCTCAGAACAGGCATTTGGATTCTAATTGGTTAAGGTGTTGCCATGGGATATAATAAAGACTGGCAGTGTCCATTGATCCTTTTTACTGTGTTTCATGAAAAATATACACTGTAAATTCCATTTACTTCTATAAACAGGATCCTGTGTGTTAATATATGTAACATCTAGCAAGAGCAAATGAATCACACTGGAAACTTGACTGATTATCTTCAATTGTCCCTTTTTTCCAGTATGTTTTTTACATCAGTGCAAGATGAAAAGCTTAAACTCATTGTCTCTTTTTAGCAACTTTTGAGTTCCACAACTAACCAGCAATTGTTTGTATAAATCGATAACTGGGAGCTATTTAAATTTGAGTTGCTAAAGTCTGAGCAGGTAGTAGAACAAAAACAGAAATTGTTGGAAAAGCTCAGCAGGTCTGGCAGCATTTGTGAAGAAAAATCAGAGTTAACGTTTCTGGTCCGGTGACCCTTCCTCAGAACTAGTAATTCTGCTTTGTTTTCCAACAGAACTAATCCCAAAAAGTTCATGTTAATACTTTTACTATCTTCTTTCCACATATTAAAAAAACCATCAATTACTGTATTTAAAATTCTGCAACAATATCTTTTAACTTCAATACCTCTGTCAGGGTATCAACCCAGGCTGTGGCAGTCGAAAGCTGTTAGGAAGAAATAGGGAGCCAGCCCACGATCTTGTACAAAATCTACGCATTGAGAAACAAAGGCAGCATGTCACCTCCTATATTTTACCTGCTGATTCTATCTGTAGACTCCAAACTATGGAGCAAAGGCTGATGAGAGTTCAGTGGAGCTTCCTAATCCGATCAAAGGAAGAAAGATTTGTATTTGCGTAGCCACTTTAACAACATTGAGTTCTGAATGGTGTACTTTTCTTTCTTTCAAAAATACAGTCAATATTGAAACGTAAAGTGCTGGAGAAACCAGCAGCTCTTGTCATGTCTGTGCAGAGAAACAGAGTTAACATTTTGGGGTCCAATCTGATTGTTTGGGAGTGAAGACATGTTGAAATATATATAGGGATTAGTTCTGTTGGAAAACAAAGAAGGAAGAAAAGAAGAGGAAGAACGGGTGAGTGGACAAACTCCGACTGGAGTGTCCTACTCTGCTGTCATCCTTTGTTTTGCCAATCTGTGGACTACCTTATCCCTGGGCTTGTGACAGAGGGTCATAGCAATCCAATGGGGTTTATGGCATCAGAGTCAACTGAAGAGGTTTGCAATTCATTAAAAGTCAGGATTAAATCCACAGATCCTAGAATACTACCAGGTTGATTAAGTCTTAGCACCCCTTATCAGGTTCTCAATGATAACATAGAAGTAAAAAAGATATTGTGCTACACTTGCTTGTTCCGGTTTGTCATAGATGCTTAATGTGCATTACATGTTATAATGCTTTCTTTGTTTTTGTCTGACATGCCATAAACTACTTATTGAGAGATCTACTAGTCTGTTGTTTTAATATATCACCTGGTTTACCTACACGATCAGTCATTGTAATGATATGCAGTCATAGAGGTCTACTGCACAGGAAACGGCCTCTCGGCCTGCCACGCCTGCACCAGTCAAAAACGGCTACCTAACTTCTGAAGAAGGGTCACCAGACCTGAAACATTAACTTTACTTTCTCTCCACAGATGCTGCCAGGCCTGCTTTTTGGTTTCTCATAGCCTAGTATGCCTTGGCATTGTACGTCTAAAATACTTCTTAGAGGCAGAAATCCTCATTTCATTTAACACCCTTTACAGTCAGTGAGTTCCAGATTTCCATCACCCTCTGGGTGAAAAATTTTTTCTATGCCTCTCCTCTAAACCTTCTGTCCCTATTTTAGTCTATGCCCCTAGTCATTGATTCCTCCATCGAGGGGAAAAGTTTCTTCCTGTCTAACCGATCTTATGTCCCTCATAATTTTATACATCTCAAGCATGTCCCCTCTCAATTTCTTCAGCTCTAAGGAAAACAACCCTAGTCTATAGAAAACAAAAACAGAAATTGAGGTTGTAGACATGCTCGCCGAGCCGGTGGGTTTAGTTGCAAACATTTCATCACCTTGCTAGGTAACATTGGCAGTGCGCATCTGGTGAAGCGTCAGTATGTGCCTTGGTTTGTTGGGGGTGTGTGGTACTACTTCCGGTTCTGTTTCTCAGTGGTTTGTATACAGGGTCTAAGTCAATGTGTTTGTTGATGGAGTTCTGGTTAGAATTCCAGGCCTCCAGAAATTCCATGGCATTTCTCTGTTTGGGTTGTGTGATCATGGAAGTGTTGTCCCAGTCGAATTCATGTCCCTTGTAGTCTGTGTGTAGTGAGACAAGTGAAAATTAATTGCATCTCTTGGTGGCTAGTTGGTGTTACTATATCTGTATTGTCAGTTTTCTTCTGGTTTGGCTAGTGTAGTATTTCTCTCAGTCTTTGCATGGTATTTGTGTACTACACAGATCTTGCTGGTATTCTAACCGGAACTTCATAAACAAACACATTGAATTAGACCCTGTGTAAAAAACCACTGAGAAATAGAGCCGGAAGTGGTACCAAACATCCTAATAAACTGAAGCTTATGAATAAAAAGCGGGACAGAACACCAACACTTCACTGGAGGCGCACTGACAATGTTACCTAGCAGGGTGACAAAACATTTGCAACCAAACCTACCGGCTCAGCGAGTATGTCTACAATCTCATCCACAATCTGAGCTACAAATCTTCTCAAATTTCAAAAGCAGAAATTGCTGGAGAAACTCAGCAGATTTGGAAGCATCTTGGGAGAGAAAGCGGAGCTAACATTTCAGGTGACTGGACCTGAAAAGTTAACTCTGCTTTCTTTCCCCAAATGCCGCAAATCCTGCTTAGTTTGTCCAGCAATTTCTGTTTTTGTTTCAGATTTCCAGCATTTGTAGTTCTTTGTTTATTCCTTGACCGTCCAATGTCTATTCATAAGTGAAACTGTCCATCCCAGGCAACACCCTAGTCGATCTCCTCTGCACCCTCTCCAGTGCTGTCAGGTTTTACAATGTGGATTTCAGAACTGCATGCAGTACTCTAGTTGTAGCCTCACCAATGTTTTATATGGTTCCAGCTTAACCACCCTACACTTAAACTCTATGTCTCAGCTAATAATGGGAGACCAGTGTGCACCCACACCGAGGTCCCTCTGATCCTCGGTGCTTCCCTGGGCCCTACGATACATCATATTCCCTTGCCTTGTCCCAGTCCATTATTTCACATTTATCCAGATTGAATTCCAATATCCCTGCAGAGACTGTGACAAACACTACATCAGACAAACAGGAAGGAAATTAACAACAAGGGTACACAAAAACCAATTGGCTGCAAAAAGACACAACCAATACACTCTCATCTCTATCCACATGGATAAGGAGAACCACCAATTCGACTGGGACAACACCAAGAGACAGGCACGGGAGTTCCTAGAAGCCTGGTACTCCATGAAGAAAGCCATCAACAAACACATCGAACTTGACCCCGTGTACACTGCACAGCGAAGGAAAACCTTCGTGAAAGGTGAGGTAATCCAGCTCAACAGACTCCAGAGTTTAAAAACCAGGTGGGAAAACACAACGGCGCTTCATCGGAGGCTGCACTGATGATGTTACCTAGCAGGGTAATGAAACGTCAATGAAACAACCAGCTCGGCAAGCCAACCAACCACAACACCCACAACCCGAGCACAAATCTACTCCAAAACCTTAGATTGAATTCCATTTACTACTGATCAGCCCATCTATATCCTCCTGCAATCTAAGGCTCTCCTCCTCACTATGTACCCCTCCCACCAATTTTTGTATCGTTTGTGAATTTATTGATCAACCGTCTTACATTTGAGCCTAGGTCATTTTTATATAAACCACAAACAGCAAGAGTCCCAGTGCTGACCCCTGAGGGACCCTACTGGACACGGACTTCCAGTTGGAAAAATACCCTGAACACACCTTCTGCTTCCTGCTGCTCAACCAATTATGGATCAATTTGCCAAATTTCCTTGAATCCCATGAACTTTTATCTTTGCTTCAGTCTCCCATGTGGCACTTCTTTGAAAGCCTTGCTGAAGTCCAAGTAGGCAATATTAAAAGCATTGCCTTCATCTTTACATCTGGTCACTTCTTTGAAAAATTCAGTCAAGTTAGTCAGACATGACCTCCCCTTAACAAAACCATGCTGACTGTTCTTGATTAATCTATCCTTCTCCAAATACAGATTAATTCTGTCCCTCAGAGTTGCTTCCAATAGTTTCCCACTACTGAGGTTAGACTGAGTGGCTTCTAGTTTCCTGGTTTATCCCTTGCTCCCTTCTTGAGCAATGGTACCACATTGGCTGTCCTTCAGTACTCCAGCACTTCTCCTGTGGCCTGAGAGGAATTAAAAACTTTTGCAAGTGCCTCTGCTGTTTCCTTCCTTGCCTCACTCAACAACTTGGGTTATGTTTCCTCCGATCCTGGGGACGTATCTACTTTTAAGCCTGCCGGACCACTCAGAACCTCTTCTGTCTATGCATATTTTAAAATTTATTTTCCCAGTCCTTCTCCTTGATTTCTATACCCATATTGTCCCCCTCACAAACAAGTATTGACGCACAGTATTCATATAGAACCCACCTACATCTAGCTCCATGCACAGCTATTTACTCTGATCCTTTAACGGGCCATACTCTTTCCCTTATTATTCCTTGCCTTTAGTGCTCCTCTAAAACCACTCGGATTTTCCTTTTATTTTACCTGCTGCTATCCTTTCCTGTTTTAGCTCTCCTAATCTCCTTTTTAAGTTACCTCTTGCACATTCTACCCTCTTCTAGGACCTCTGGTGTTTTGAGCCCTCAGTATCTACCATAAGCGTCCTTTTTTCTCTTAATCCAATGCTGTATATCCCTTTATCCAGGGTTCACAGGATTTGATGGTCTCACCCTCTTTATTGTAGCATGTTGGCCCTATACTCTTATTTCCTTCTTGAATGCATCCCACTGTTCTGAGACATATTTACCTGAAAGTATACACTCCCAGTCTACTCTGGCCAAACCATATATGATCTGATTAAAATCAGCTTTCCCCCATTTTAGATCTTTGACTTTAGGTTTGTTGAAATAACTCTAAAAGATTTAAAAACAGGTATGAATCTGGTGACATTACACTATTTAGATGACATAGAAGTATTACACTTAGGGGCAGTAAATAACATTAGTTCAGCTATTTTTGGGGATTTTGGGTGTGTACTGTAGTGAATACTACTGGATATGTTAAAGACACAAGTTCCTTCCTGGAACACTATATTTGCAAGCTCAAATCATGGTGACAGTGATTTTTAAGTTCCAGGTAATTGACAGTTTATTTCTTTGGCTGTTCATGAGTAATAACACGTTGTTCAGATTGGGACAAGTTTTAGTAGACAAATATTCCTATGCTATTAAAATGAGCACTTCTTATTTCAAATAAAAAATACTAATTACTGTTTGTTTTTTTCACAGCCAACTCATTGTCATTCAATTAATGATTTGAGGTTTACATTTAAATAATACATCTTAACTTAAAATAACGTCTAAATACTACTGAAAGATTGACTTAACTTGTGTTATAAATTCAGCTAAGTTGAAAACATGTCAAAGGTTAAGTTCCAAACTTGAGCCCTGTAAAATGTCTTTTTTTATAAGCTTCCCCAAGCAGAGAGATTGCATCTGGAAACTTATTTTCAAAGGGATATATTGTTGAAGATTTGAAGAGGTGTTGAAAGTTAAAGAGCAGGGAACGAATGTTCAACATTTAGATATCTACACAAGTATACAATTATTTTGGCCAGAGACAAATTAGCACAATATCAGCTCAGTATTTTCGTTCAAAATACCATTTGTATATATGAACTTCATCAGATAAATAAGATTGTTATTATAATCTGTCTGTGCTGACTTTGAATTTTTTTTAATGATAGTTTGCGAAGAAAAATGCTGAAGTGACGCATGCTTCCTCACTGGGTTACAATGGTGCTATCTTGCAAGCCCTTGCTGTTCACCATGCTCTAGAGGAGGAGTTGCAGAAGGACAAGTATTTGGATTACCTCATTGGAGAAATGCAGTTGCTTGAGAATGAAGAAAAATCTCTGTCTGATGCAAGAGAGTGAGTACAGGCCTAGGGTGGCCTCTTGTGGCTAATGGCTTCATCTCTCTTGGTAACTCACGATGACGTTCTTATGGATTTATCAATGTGTTTATTTTTGTATAATATATTTATCAACATATTACAAGGATTGACCTTGTAATTAGATCCTAGTCGTATAACATTGAATATTACGGCTCTAAGATGAAATACAGTTCTGTTGTTTTCTGCCGCTAAAGGCTGTAAGGTAAAGTAGCAGAAATTTATTACCATAATACTGTTACCTGTAGTTAACTTAAAGCTTTCTGTCAATTCATAAATTTCATATTGAGAGAGAAACATGAACAATATGACACCTGATGTTTACTTTCTAGCAATGATCTTTTTCCTCTTTGCTTCTCTCCTCCAGTATCTCTTAACCTATCTGTGCTTCATTCTAGCGGTGAAGCCTTCCATATATAATTTTAGGCAACAAATGTTGACAAGTTATTGGAATTTAATGTAACATGTAATTTATAATATTGTATTCAGGACATCTCACTCCTTTGCCCTCTTGCCCAAAAGGTCTTAAAGTCAATGGTAGCAACCTGTCTTACAATTCAATCAGCACAGACTCTTGGTTCAGTGGCTTCTTTTTCTGTGCTGTATTATTCTATGGAACCTGAATTCACTTAATTTTGCACACACTGGAAATCAAACTTGGAAGCGCTAATATATTTATTGAGTTGACTTTTCAAAGTCACTTTAAAATCCCTATTTTTTTATTTTGAGTGCTGAAAGGTTGGAAAAGTTTGATGTTGAGTCTTTTTTTTGAGTCCACGTTTGCTGAGCTAATGCAAAAGATGTCATATAATAGAAATGAGTTGAAAAAGAAAGTAACTTTCACTAAAATAAGTTTTAAGTTCCTGTCTGCTATGGAATGGAATGCTTTGTTTTTGCTGCATCTGCTGGATTAACACTTGTCTGCAGTACCTTTTGACTGCTCAACTTTTCTGAGCTCACAACAGACTTGGCCACTATTAATTTTGTCAGTTTAGCATAAAATGTGTAACGGAGGAATTATTGTTATCTTTCTGTAGGATTGTGAATTTTGCTGGGCATCTGATGATTTTACAACCATGTGACAGTTTGGGCTAAGATATATGCCCGGAATGAAATGGGAGTGATTTTTATTTTTAAAAACCCTTTGGGAGGTTGCTCTGGTGCATAGAGATTGGTGTAATCTTTTCTGATATGTGCAACTTGCTGTTGATCGGTTGGTGGGGCTGGTATTAAGGTAATAAGTGAATCATTGAATCATAGTGCAGAAGCAGGCCATTCCGGTCCAGACCAACCCTCCGAAGAGCACCCAGACCCATCCCATTAGCCTCCATTTCCCATGGCTGATCCACCTACTCTGCACATCTCTGACACTATGGGCAATTTAGCATGCCCAATCCACCTAACCTGCGCGTTTTTGGACCGTGGGAGGAAACCGGAGCACCCGGAGGAAACACATGCAGACGTGGTGAGAATGTGCAAACTCCACACAGACAGTCACCCAAGGTGGAATCGAACCAGGGTCCCTGGCACTGTGAGGCAGCAGTGCTAACCACTGAGCCACCGTGCCACCCAAACATAAGCTTGTGAATGTACCAAATCTTTCAAAAATATGCAGTTTTAAAAAAATGTTTTATTGTATATGTAGCTCTAAATTGCCTTTATTGTCAAATCCAAAAATAATTTTTGTAATTAATTTTCTATTCTTCTGGATTGTCCCCAAGTTCAAAACATGTACATCGCATGAAAATAATTTTCAAAAACATCACAATTTGTAATGAGACAAAAAAACTGTAGATGCTGGAATCCAAGGTAGACAAACAGGAGACTGGAAGAACACAGCAGGCCAGGCCCGAAACATTGGCTGCTCCTTTTCTCCAGATGCTGCCTGGCCTGCTGTGTTCTTCCAGCCTCCTGTTCGTCTACAGCTTGTAACAAGCTTGTGACGAACTTGTTTTAATTCCTTCCCAACAATGTAGTGGTGTTCTGGTACTGTCACTGGACTGGTAAACCAGAGCTGTAGACACATGTTCTGGGGACAATCTTCTGAATCCTAACATGGTGGGTGGCAAAATTTGTATATGATAAAAATCTGGAATTAAAAACTGGTGTAGTGATGCTAACCCTATCTTGTTTAGTTGTTAGTGGTAAATACCCATCTGGTTGAGTATTGTCCTGAAGGGAAATAAATTTACGTGTGACTCCAATCCTACAGCAATGTGATTCTTAATTGACCTCTTGACTTCTGAAATGGCCTAGCCAGCTGGTCAATTCAAGGGAGATAATAGATGATCAATAAATGGAAGCCCAGCCAGTTATGTCCACATCCTGTGAACAAATATATTATATATTTTAAAAAAAAGAGACATTCTTGATTTTTCTTTTAAAAACTAAAAGCCTAGTCTGACTCTAGAAAATGTTTTGCCAGTAAACTCATTTATCTTCTTCCCTAAGCATTGCTGTACTGGCTTTAGCTGCATGAACTGTGTCCCAAATAGCATGTGTAAGATTTCCCAGTTCTGGTATTTTTAACTGTGTCCTTGGGCAATGCGTGTAACATTTTTAATTTTACTCATTACTCTAGCCAGTCCAAACTATCATCTCAAATGAAAATTGCAGTGTGTTCTAGTGATTGCTGCACATAATTGTTGAAAGATAAACAAGATAGGATTGTATGCATTGGGGTCAGCATCTCTTATTTTTGATAAAAGTTGTATGTTTTGATGGGTGCAAACTTGTATTCCTGCTTGTTTTATCTGCAGAAGAGAGCATGATCACTGGTAGAAGAGAGAATGATGTTAGTAATAGTCTCCTAAGAGGCAGGGTTGGTTAATGTGACACAGAAGTAGGGAAACACATTCGTCTCTGCTGAGTTCAGGCTCATTTTGAAACTTGACCTGTTGAATTATTTTGAACTGTTAAATGTCATCAGAAATTCTGAAGATAAGACTTTTTTTTAAGGAAAGAAACCTTAATTTGTTTGTTTTTCTTTTGAGGGGTCAGCCTTGAGAGGGGAAAAAGCAATGTTTAGAAGAGAATGTACTGTTTTCAAAAAATTCCAGGGTTGAAATTCTGAAAGAACCTTGAAGAAATAGTTTGCTTAAATGTGTGTTTGTTTAACATTTTGTGATGTCCTTCTTCAACATGTTTCTAAATAAGCAACTAACCTCTCAAACTTTACCAAATGTTCGACAATGGCAATAAATTGTATTTGGGGATAGAGTGGGAATAGAGGCATGAACAGGTTACAGAGCAAGATCCAAGAAAATGATTATGGCATGACAAATTTGTTTTGCATTTTAAATTCTTCCCTCCAGCAAAATATTTTCATTAAAAACCCGTACAATGGTAAACAAATGCTATTCACTTAATAGTGTATAGGAAATACTGAAGGGACTTGACGTGGATGCTAAACTTCGTTAGAACTTTGGGATACAGCTTAAAATGTCTTCCATTTATAACTGAAAAGTGTAGAAAATATTTGAGGGTCCTGAGCCAGTGGAACTCTTTGAACTGTGGAAGCCGGGCCATTTGAGTATTTTTTTTTTTTAAATCCATGATTTTATCAAATGGTGGAGCAGGTGTGAGTGTCTATTTCTGCTTCTTGTATTGTACATTGCATCAAACTATTAGTTTAGTGCCAATTTCACATGGCTAATACAAGATGTAGCATTATCGTGCTAATGAAAAGTACTCTTTAAACAATGGGCTAATGTGATGTTACATTTGTACAGTGGATTCGTGCTGTACTGGGTACATGATATATTGGATTTGGGAGTGGATGTGGGTAAGTTTGGTACCAGATTCAGAAGCACTTCAAATCCCAGCTTTGGTACCTTTTTATCTTGATGGAACAAGATGTATAAAATTATATTTATATGAAAGATCATTCCAGAGTTGAAAGTTTGACTTCTAAAAGTGGCAACCTTTCAAAGCTGGAATAATCATCTTTTTGGATAAGTTTGTAAAACATTATTGTGCTTAAAGCAGCACTGTTCAACTGAATTACTGTTTAGTCCTACGTGTCAGAAAGAGAGATCGCTGTACAGCTGTTGGGGCCTGCCTTAACCCTGCGCAGGTAGATGTGTTAAATTCCTTTGTCATTTGCGGTATATCTTTCTTCTTTGTCTTCGACATTAAAGATGTGTTCCAGTAAAGTACTTAACTTGAATGTTAGTCACAAGTATAATGTCACCCTTTCATGAAATTAACATTTAAGGAGTTTTACAAGTGATTATTGACTGCATTCTGCAGGCATTTTAAACGTGAAGTTGTAACAATGAAGTGACAGCTAAGAGGTTTGATTTAAATGTAGGAAAGTGATGATTTTAGTTCTACATTTGAAAAATAATGTTAGTATTGCTGTGCTGCATTTAAGTGTTTGTTGCCTTTTGATAAAGGTATCTTTTGATAAAGTGGAGTTGAGGCCAGGATTAAATGAGCTATGATGGTATTGAATGGTGGAGCACACACAAGGGGCTATTCTTCCTAGTTCGTACGTTTTTATATTCTTGTGTTCTGTGCTGAGTCTAAATACTATGGGCACAAAGCTGACATTTTAAGTATAGTACAGTCCTTGCACAAAATAGCTGAGCTGGACTTGACTGAATTCCTGTCTGAGTAATTGAATTTACCCTACCAGATTCCTTTATTTTTTAATTTAAAAAACTTCCTTTTTCAGCTTTCAAGAGTTCCCTTACTGCAGTAGACTAAAGAAAATGAAAGCATTTTTATCGCGAAGAGATGTTTCAAAGGAAGAGGTAGTTAATGAATTGGGTAAGAATTGATGTTTCCATTTCCTAGGCATTGTTCTGTATTAAACCTTAATTTTCTTTATTTTTTGGACAGTCTATTTAACGTTTAACAGTATTAAATGAGAGGAAAGAGAATTGTCAGCTGGAAGACAAATAATTTGTTACAGGAATTCAGGACAGAAGCTGTTTCCTGCCAATGTCTGTCTGTCTGTCTGTCTTCAGCATTTGAAAGCAGCATTTAAATGAATTATTTGACTTTCACCTATTTGTTGTTGTCTAATTTTATAACTTGATTGTCTTCACTTGGCTCCAGTTCTCATTACAGCCTTGATCCAATCGTGGACAAAAGAGTTGAATTGCAGAGGCGAGTTGAGAGTAACTGCTTTGACTTTAAGGCTTCATGATTTGGGCAGTAGCAAGTAACATTTTTGCCACATTGCCAGGCAAAGATCATTCTAACAAAGAGTTTAACCACCTCCATTTGATATTCAGTAACATTTCCTTTGCTGAAACACCACCTTCAACATTCTGGGGGTTCCTATTGAAGTGAAATTTTATTGGATCAGCCACAAAATTCTTAGACTAGAACAACTGTTGCTATTAATTCCATTGTATATTTATTAAGAGAAGATGAAAAATATCTGAATATCCAAATATTGTGCCAATCTGCAATATTCATTCATATAGAAATCATTCAGTAAATATCTCATCCCTCTTTTTGGACTGTTATTTATAATGTCTTTTCTTTGAAGTTAAACTTTTGTACTCAGTCACTTCATTTTTCACTTTTTTTAAAATATGCCCTGGGGCATTCATTTTCTTCCAAAGAGTCATGCTGTAATAAGAATAATGGTTTGACATAAGAAAATCACTACATCTTTAAGCTGTGGCATAAAATCCTTTGTAGTTCTCATGGAATTTTCAAATGAACTTTAATAAATAACCAGAAGTATTCTGCATGGGTATACTGTGTACAGTGGTATGAGTTTTGTACTATTAATATCTATCTATGGATACCATATCTATCTGTGGAGCTTATGTGGTTTATATGATTTGAATGTCTGTAATGCTTAACATTTTTTAGCTTTTTTTTCTTCGTTCCTGAGTTTTTTCTACCTAGGTACCTTTGTACCTAAAGATGGCACTATGGGTGCCAACATTAGACACTATTCACTGTACTCCTGAACATCTGTACTTGAGGACATGTGACAATAAAATCTAAATAAAAATAAAATCTAAATCTTTTTGTTTGCTTATTTTTAGGGAATGGAATAGCTGCTTTTGAATCTGTGCCAACTGCTATTTATTCCTTTTTGCGATGCATGGACCCTGATCCTGAAATTCCAGAAAAGTACAATGGACTTGAAAGGACAATAATCTACAGCATTTCACTGGGTGGAGACACTGATACGATTGCTACTATGGCTGGAGCAATTGCTGGGGCTTATTATGGAAAAGAGCATATCCCGCATTCTTGGTGGAAGAGCTGTGAAGCCTATAAAGATACAGATTATTTTGGGGAGAAACTGCGTGACTTCTACGGCAGTCGCCTCATGTCCTCTCCAAAAACAGGATAAAGTAAATTGACTGGAAACATGTTTCATTGCTGAAAACATGAATAACAAAATTGAAAATGTAGTCATGACAGAACGGGTCATTCGAATTCAGTTAATTCTTGAAACCTTCTCTGTTTTTGAGTTATCAAAATTGTTCGGCTGTTTCACATTGTCGGTGTTTTTAACTTTAAATCGTTTTAATGCTGAACTGATTTAAAGAAGCTTCTGTTGTAATTGTTTAATGTCTTACCTGATTCAACCACAAGCACCTAGAGTGAGGAGTAAATTAATAGTACAATCTTTTTTGTTATTTAAACAGAGCTTGTCTCACAGTCTTTCCAAATTAAGGATGTGATGAATATTGGTATCTTTCCTTTACTTATGCCTTGAGTCATGCAGCTGTTGCAACATTTTCAAGGATAAATTCACAAATGTACTATCTTTATTTAAAATCTGTATAGTCTACATTTCGGGTTTGTTGCGTAACAGAGAGAATATGATGACTCCGCTGCTGAATCTGATTTTTTTATCTTTGCTAGCTGCTTGCTAGTTTCATGTAGCTATTCTGGAGTTAGGTGTGACTTGAACTCTCCTAGCTGAGGAAATGCGTTTTCTTGCAGATCTCTTTGCTGATATGAAGTTAGACGTAGAATTAACATTATGATGTAGCATTGCTTTGTATCATCCATGCTGTGTTACATGGCAGCTGGATATAGGACACCTTGGACACTAAAACGTAACTAAAGTTCCAGTGGACTGCCTGGGAGTGCAGGGCAACCTTTAGTATAGCTGCTAATATTGCTAACACTCTCAAACTGAGCAAATATCCCACAATTCAATTCTAGTTTAAAATCAACAGATATTTTATTTTATCATTCTGATGATTTTTCTATGTAAGTTGTTAGTGAATCATAGAATCTCTAAAGTGTGGGAGCAGACCATTTGGCCCATCGACTCTCCAAAACAGCATCCCACCCTATCCCTGTAACCCTACATTCCCATGGCCAATTCACCTA